AGCCTTCAAAAGGGGCTTAGACAATTGTTGGTCCACCCTTTTCCCAGAGCTATTGTAGTTACTGGTATATGTAGTGTATCTTGATGCTGGCATATGAAAGTGCAGAGACTGCTCTTGTTCTTGCATCATTCCATTGCAGAAGCAAGAAACAATCCAACGTCGAAGTGCTGGGGGCCGATTCACTTACCGGCACAAGAACTGGACGCTCGTTAGGCGGAAGCCTCTATTGTCCATCTGACCTGACCTGACCTGTGTATACTAGATATATATACAAAGCGCCATCTAATGGCAACCTCTCTAGTTGGCCTAGCATACCTACCGAACCAAACCCGCCGCTAGGCAAATCTCAGGTGTGAGAGTCCCGGTCCGGCTCCCTGTCACTCCTCTCCATTAGAGCATGTCGAAATTACTACTGGAACTGCTTCTCAACTTGAACTCGAATTCTTCACCGGGTCCCGATGGTTTACATCCTTTGTTCCTCAAAGAGGTGGCATTCGTTGCTGCACCATGGTGCACATGGTGCACCATGGTGACAAATTGAATTTGTCAAGTATTTCGAATCTCACTTGAAGCAGGTAGTCTCCCAACTAAATGGAAAGCAAATGTGAAACCGATTTACAAAGGTGGGAATCGCCAAGATCCGATTTGCCTGTCATCATTCCTCCGTAAAATCATGGAAAGGATTTTGAAACAAGTTCAAATTCAATTTGGACAGGAACGGTAGGAGAATTCCCATGTGTGTTCCTTCTTCAATGCGTCGTTGAACCAGGATGGAGTTCGCAGGAGCGGTTTGGAGCCGAGAGGAGCCAAATCAATACACACGAATCACATAACGGCCAACCACTCAATGCCCACGCGGCCTGCACTAGCAGTCCCCACTGTACCGGCCACGTGAATAGAATAAAGGTTAAGAGAAGGGAACCAACAAAAACAAAATAATGGTGATTGTAGTACAGGAGAGAACCCACTCAGCACCAGTGTCCGATGAACGCCAGTTGGATGTCCGATGGGCGCCCGTTGGGTGACCGATCGAGCGCCCGATCGGCGCCCGAGTGGCACAAAATTGTGTCACTCATCGGGCGCTCGCGGGGAAAAATAACGTGGCGCCTCCCTTCGCACGCTCACATTTCCACGATTTTCAGCCGTAACGGGTAAATCCTAGCCGCATTATCCTCACTTCCCATACCACTGCAAGCACGTTAATGCGGTCGCACACATTGCATGCCATGAACATAACACAGTTCGCGAAAACATAGTGTAATATGGATCTCATAATTTACAAAGCGGAATTTTCCAGTGCTAACCGTTCTGTTTCCTTTCGTATCCACGATTCACGCCCTTTAATTCGTTGTATCCAGCGTCGTAACTTATCAACAATATCAGGCTCTGTGCATCCTGGTATGTTTTTTCTCATAATGGAATCTGGTGAAGATATTAATGTTGTTTAAAAGGTAACATACCAAGGACCGCTCTCGCGAATGGTGTGTTCGCTATTTTATACTTCTCATGCACACCACGCCAGTTCACATGTCTGACCAAGTTGTTAGTCATGCAAGTAAGCATGACGTTCCGCACACTTTCTGAGGTTGTCCGGCCGCTTACGTTGGATAAATAGTGCACCTACGAATAAGTGAAATTCCATGAGACTTACCATGCTGTTCATGAACTCAGCGTTCTCCAGTGCATTATTTAAAAATGACAGTTGCGCTATTGTATCCATTGGTAATGGAAATGGACACGCGTTGCTGGAACTTGGCGCCTGAAGTGCATGCAGCGCGTTCAAGGACAACTCAACAGCAGTCATTCGTTCGCGCAGTTTCATCACTTCGCGATTTACGTTCCGCAATGTGGCTGCAAGTAAATGTTTCGGAGACGCTGTGAACCAACCATTCATTTCCAACAGCAGTGCGCTGTCACAGGATGTTCCGCAAACAGGTAAAGGCTGAGCAACGTCTTGGTGAATCGGACTACGAGTGTAAAAACAAATGCATTGTTTACCTGGATGTATGGGGATAGGCTGATAGGTATCCATTTTCTTTATCAGAACAGTCGTTTAATTCCTCCTCCAAATACAGCTTCGGTGGTGGAGGTGATAAATCCAAGTTCACGACTTCAACAGTACCCCGCGTTGCGATTGGCGGGGACTCACAGTCGGGAAAGGTTTTTACAGTGCTGCGATAATATACTATCTATCTACAACATACATTTTTCACTTCCCCCATCGTAGCATTGGAATCGTTGCGTCGCTAGATGGTAATTCGGCTGATGTTAGCAAGCTCTGTTCCAAATTTTTAGCCTCAAGGTAATCATCTAAAAATGCGTATAAATAAATCGTTCTGTGACCTCACCTGTACAACTGTGTATTCGTACTTTGTACGTCACAGCGGACGCAGGTGGTGGCAGACGGTGCATCAGGAAATCCTGTAACTGTTTTGATGATAACCGTCCCCACAGAACTTCCTCACTATTAATCATCCAGGATGACAGAACCACCGCAACGGAAGAATCTTGAAATTCGACCACGCGATACATCTGAAAAAAGGGGTCAGAGCACAGCATTTCTACGAGCTTATTAGAAGAGGTAAATGTGTTCGGTGGGGAAACTTTTATTTGCGATACCAGGTGCAGCAGCACATGCAGTGTATTCCATGGTGCTTAAAACGTAACAGTAACCGCGCAACGCCGTTACTGTTGTACAACGATTTTGCGCACCCAGGTTAAAAGTATAAAACGGACTGTTAACTGAAGCAAATAAATAAATGAAGACAGCTTACCTACGTCGGATGTTTCTTCATATCCTTGTGCCGCCAGCTGTGAACGATGGGGTAAAATACAATGTACTCATCGCACGGCAATCTCAGACATTTGCAGCCGATTGCACTCAATGGAATCCATGTCGGTGGAGCTAAGGAACCCCAACATTTAAAAATACGTAGGTCCGTGGACGGCAAACTTTTTACGAACAGCGACATAGTCTGTGTGAAATGCTGCACACATAACTCATTAGCACGCTGGCCCAGCACTACCGAAGGTCTTCCACGTGCGATGACAGCATTATTTGGATGCGCATTCGTAATCAGCGCACCGAAATGTAAGAAACTGGTTTGTTGCCGACCACGACGCATAATTACGGTGGATCCAGTGTCGTCCAAACAACCGCCATCATCTGTGACATTGGTTAACCTTCGCTCCGTTACGCGACGAAAAATTTGCGACGTCGCAGACGTCGGGCCATTTATGAGCTTTCGAAGCCGTCGTAGAAACGATTCGAAGGGAAATGCGGAAAAATTATCCATGGGTCCGAGGCGCCCGACATCCTGGCACATATGCACTAAACAGTGCACGTTGAAGACCACCTCCTTCTCACCGTACAGCTTCGCGATGTCACGCACCACCTTATTCAATACTGATTTCGCATGCGAAAGGTAATGTGAACACCACCTACGGCAGCACAGAATGTATGCGGCGACGGATAACATAACGAAATTATTGTACAGGTCTTCGGGCAACACGCCGCGCAAAACTACGGGGCCCAGGTATAAAAGAAACTGTCTGAATTCCGTGGCCTTCCAACGTTCCACGTCCTCAAACGTGCGACATTTGCGCGGAAACTCGCACGTCAGGTTAGCCGAACAAATGCGAAGTCGTTCATTGATAATGTCGATGGATTTTGATGGCAATCGTATGTTTCCACGTGTTGGGCCGCAACGCCAAAGCATTATTAACTTCCGTGTTACTCCCAGACACAAGGTGTGCATGTAATCAAGTGGGAAACAACTTATCATATCAATCCGTAGAGCCTCAAAAGGTGATTCGCCGATGTGATGTTCCGGTTGTTTTCGTGTTCTAAAATCCATGTCATTACGTAATGAGCTTTGGGGTTCGGTAGGGAAGGTCATTCTACCATCAACGTGCGAACCTGCAAATGTTTATCAAACTTTACGCTTCGCTTACCAGTTATTGTGCATTTCTCGCAGGCGAAATATCCGGAATGTTGTTTCACCTGCCGAACATATGCTCGTGCAGGTGCATCGGCTATCACGCAGTCCAGCACGATATCTATAGCATCATCATTATCACACAAGCAGACACCTTTGCGTAACACATCCTTCAATTCATCCACCACTGGCCGCAGGAACTCATGCACATTAATAGGTTTTGATAATCCACTGTAAAGACCAATTAAAAACACATCGCTTGGCGGATTTATCAGCCTTCCAAGTACTGGCCACAGTTGTCTGCGCGAGCTTTTGAACACGGTCATTCCGTCTATATGGATCTGCAACTTTAGCAATGACGGACGGGGTGAATGCGTTCTGCGCAACACGTCACGTATGGCGTCCTGCAAACCCATATGGATGTAACTGCCACCTCTGATTAATCTCACTGGACACCGACGGGGTGTTTTCAAAATGCTACGAGCGTCAACCGGTAAGTTAGGATATAGGCGCCGAAGATTGCGCAAAAGGATGTTAATCTGGGTCAAAGTGAAGTTTCCGTCCAGAGCCACGTCACGCAGAATTTCCTCTAAGGTAACCGATTCTGCTGGACGCAAGAAATTGGTTGGACGGGCTAAAAGAGTACGTTTTATGAAACATTTGCATACGTATATTTAATAAAGAGGAAGCACAAGGCACATCCGATTCATATTTGTGATGAATGACTCCACCATTAGGGGATATTGCGTGCGTTAAAGGTTCCTGCACGGCATGGCGCGAAGAATGCACATCTTGTGCGGTAGGTCCAGTACTTATCATCTCCCGTGCAGCTGAAAATACATTCCGCGAAAAAAGCCCATACCTTGTAATGACATAACTGCTTGCACTTCTCTCTGTATATCATCTTCAACTCGTCGTATTCTACGATAAAAAGTTGTGTTAGAGCAACTTGAAAAGGCGTTCACAGGCTTCTTATCCATAGCCGAAAACGGATAAGCGAACTCGGCGAGACACAGAAGCGAAATGGTAATTACGCGCCAGTAGCACAGTAATAAAATGGTGCATTTAAACATAGAGTGGCAGGAGCATTATCGATCGTTATGAAGCAAAATAATAAAAACAATGTGCTGACTGTAAATATTAATATACTACGCCAACACGCATTTCCATAAATAAACATATATCATGATTGCAGAAGCAAGAAGAGACAATCCAACGTCGAAGTGCCGGGGGGTCGCTTCACTTACCGGCACAAGAACTGGACGCTCGTTAGGCGGAGGCCTCTATCGTCCATCTGACCTGACCTGACCTGACCTGATCGCCCGATGAGTGTCCCCATCCGTGCGCTCGGGTGACAGATGGTGCTGACAGGGAATGTGTGGTTAAGACAATAATAGTAATAGATGTGAGAAGCCAAGGAAATAGATGTAGAAGTTAAGAACTAAACGGAAAGGTCTGAAACTGTAACCCAAGGGCGTCGAGTCGATGTTCAAACTCCTTCACCGTTGGTGCTAATACTACTTCGCTGGGTAGTGCGTTCCCATGAGTCGATGACACCTGCGTGACAACCGAACGTCAGCTCTAACGTGATCAGATCTAGGCTTATGCAACTTCAGAGGGTGACCACGAAGAGATGGCATCTGAGCCGGCTGGAACAGTCCAGTTAGATCAGGCCCAATCTTGTTGGTCAATATACGGTACGTAAGAATCAGGTCTCCCCGAAGGCGCCTATAGTGCAGCGAAAACATCTTGCAACCTGAGCAGCCTATCGGAATACGAGAGATGCCTCAATCCTTGTACCATTTTCGTACCAACCCTCAGAACTCGTTCAAGTGTCATCTTATCGCGTACCAAGCGTGGAGGACAGGCCTGCGCGCAGTACTCCAAGTATGGCACCTCCCCTTTCCCTTGGCCTCCTTCTCTCTCTCTTCCTCTCTCCTCTCCTCTCCTCTCCTCTCCTCTCCTCTCCTCTCCTCTCCTCTCCTCCTTCTCCTCTCCTCTCCTCTCCTCTCCTCTCCTCTCCTCTCCTCTCCTCTCCTCTCCTCTCCTCCTCTCCGCCCTCTCCATCTTTCTCACTTGTCTTTCTACCTCTGACCTCCCTCTTCCTGCTTCTGCTCCCTCCCCTTGGCCCTTCACTTTTGCTCCTGACGAAGGCTGAGAACAATATAACGAACATTTCATTTGTTATAATGCCGAATGACCTGCGGATCATCCACAGCATTCGGAAACGCCTTGCATCTTCACTTTGGGAAATTGGACGTCATCTCTCATGCTCAGCACGGATTTCGGAGGGTACGCTCTTGCATTACCAATCTGCTTGTTGCCCGAGAAAAGTGAGCGCCGTCAGTGGATGCTGGTCATCGCCTTGATGTAGTTTTTGTGGATTTTAGCAAAGCGTTTGATAGGGTTCCATACAAACGACTTCTTAGCAAACTTCGGCAGATGGGCATCGCTGGTAATTTGTTCGCCTGGATCGCTGATTTCCTAGATGACCGTAATATGAGAGTGAAGGTTAACGAAGTTGACTCTGGCCCCGTTCTTATGACCAGTGGGGTTTTCACAAGGCTCCGTTCTTGGTCCCGAATTATTTAAAACCTTTATCAACGATCTCCCGTAGGCGCTCCAAATCGACTGTTTGATCTATGCGGATGATCTTAAAATGTGGTCGGAAGTATCCAGGCTTGAAGATGCTGACAGGTTGCAGCTGACGCTCGATCTGCTGCACGATTGGTCTGTCAAGTGGTAAATGCCTACCAATCTTGATAAGTGCTGTGTTCTCCCGATCGGTGATCAGGAACCTTTCGGTGCTTGCTACCTTGGTGGTTTTCTGCTGAAGAATGTGGTTGGTGAGAAGGATTTGGGTGTATTAGTTTCTCCAGACCTAAGAACAACCCAGGACATGTTGCGGAAGGTAGCATCTGCCAACAGGATGCTCTGTGCCATACGAAGGTCGTTCTACAAATTGACTCCGCAGAACTTCAGGCTCCCGTTTTCCTCCAAAGTTCGTCCAATACTGGAATATGGCCTACCTGCCACACACCCACTCACGAAATTTTAATGTGTTGATTGAGAAGGTTGAGAGGCGCGGATCCAAGTCTGTGTCTATGCTACGTGTTTTACCTTATCCCCTTCATCTCCAATATATGAACTTATTTACTCTGGACTACCGCCGTCGCCGTCGAGATCTGATTTATACTAGACGCATTTTAAGGGGCGATCTGGGGAAGGTGGTGCTGCAGTTCTTCCACCTCAACACAGATTGTTCGACACGGGGCCACAGCTTAAAACTTTCCAAAACCTCGGAGGAACCATATCCGGTCCGATATCGCGTTATCCACACGGGTTGTAAATGAGTGCAACAATCTCCCTGAATGTGCGGTAAGTGCCCAGACAGAGGAATGTTTTAAAGAACGATTGGACAAGTACATGTTGAGCATGCCTGGATTCCGCTGTTTTTCATCATCCGTCATCATCATTACACGTTAGCTGGAGCTGGAAAGCACCTCAGCTATTGTGCTGCAATACAAAAGACAAGAAACGGATAACAAACGGTGGCACTCTCGCGGAGTCCCCAGTAACGGATGGACCGTTCCGGAGAGCTAACAGCTGGCTGCCGTAAAAGAGAGTCATATTATGCCTAACAAATGAGGTCGTGATTGGAGGGGGATGCTAAACAGGAGGGAGATGGACAAAGGGACTCACAACACAAACGCCATTAGGGCCGGCTCCAAGCCATATCAGCGAGTGTGTCCAACCAAACGTGTTCATCGTCCTTAGGACCTCAGTTAGGCAGGCGGGATGCACCAACCGACGCCAACTTCGAGGTGCGGATTTTCATTTCCCTCGACCAAGTCATCACTTGGCCTCCCCTCATCCCCTCTTAACCGCACCCACAACGCGCAAACAATGCACGTCGCGGGAGTCAGTGTGCTGGCATGCGCAACACGTGGCCCAGCCATCGAAGCCTGGTGCGTGATATAATGGTGCTGAGCGGTTCACTCGCTCTTCCTGCACCAAATACGCGGCGTCGAACACGCTCATTGCTCACGCGGTGTTCCCACCAGTAATCTCAACAGTCTATGTTCCCACCAGACATGAGCTAAGCTGCGAAGGCAGCGATGATCGAATGTGACGAGCCTCTTCATGTCTGTCGACCTGATGGGCCAGGTTTCACAGCCATATAGGAGAGTTGAACGGACGGCTGCGTTGTAAACTCTGCCCTTCAGGGCGAGAGTAATGTCGCGTCTGCGCCACAGGTGGCGGAGATTGGTAAAAGCAGCTCGAGCTTTTGCTATACGGTTCGTAACCTCATCTTCAATCCCACGGGTGCTAATATAGCTGCTCAGGTACTTGAATTCCTGAACGACTTCTAGCTGAGCACCACCAAGCATTAGCGCAGGGTTGGGTCCCTGCCAATCTTGGAGAAGTACTTTGCATTTCGATGGAGCAAAGCATAGCCCAAAACGATTGACAGCCAGTGCTAATCGGTCCAGTGCTGTTTGGCATGTTTGGGAGCTGTCACAGATTAGGGCAATATCGTCCGCATACTCCAAGTCAAGAAGTCGCTCACCAGGAAGTAGCTCCACACCTTCTAGGTCGTGTCCAGCGAACGCTGTTTCCATGACTTTATAGCGAAGTTGAAGAGGAAAGGTGACAGCGGGCATCCTTGTTTCACACCGCTGGTGATACTGAAGGGTGGCGAGAGTTTGCCATAAACCCTCACCCTGCCCGAGGTATGCGCGTACAGCTCTTTGATAATGTTTACATATTTATCAGGCACACCTTTCCTCAGCAGACAGTCCCAAAGGGCACATCGATCGACTGAGTCGAAGACACCTTTTATGTCAAGAAACACGACAACGGTGGGTCGCCAATAAACATGGCGGTGCTCCAACACTTGACGCAATGTGAAGATGTGGTCGATGCAGCCCCGACCTCGACGAAATCCGGCTTGCTCTTCATGAATCTGGCTTTCACGAGTGCCAGTCAGTCTGTGGAGAATGACAGAGGCAAGTAATTTAGAGGCAATCGAAATCAGACTGATCCCTCTATGATTGCCGCATTCTAAACGGGAGCCTCTCTTGAAAATTGGGACAATGGCGGAGCGGTTCCAATCTGTCGGGACTGTCTCCTGCTCCCAAAGTTTTACTAGCAACTCGTGAAGATCATCTACTAGAGCAGGTCCCCCGAATTTGAAGAGGGCTGGGGGAATTCTATCTGCCCCTGCGGCCTTATGCAATTTCAACAGCCTGATCTCACGTTCGACTTCTGCGCGTGAGGGAGGATCCAAGGAGACGGTCCAAGGAGAAGGGCACTCAATGCCCGAAGAAGAAAGCGATAACTCAGGTTGGTTAAATTGCCTAGCAAAGTGTTCAGCCTAACGCTCCAAGCGTTTTGACAGGCCGTGGATCGGCTGCCCACTCTCGTCGCGTATGGTCTCGCTAACACCAGGTCTCCTGCTGCCTGTTGCCCGTATCAGACGGAATAACTTACGATGATTACCAAAGGCAGCGGCGGTTTCCATCTCAGATGCACGATGAGACCATCACGTTTTGCGGTCCTTCTTCAGGCTAGCACGTAGTTTTGTCCTGAGATTTTTGCGGGCCTCATTGTATTCGCTTCCAGCCGGAATACGTCGGCGAGCATCCATAAGTTCCGCTGTTTTTGCTGCATCTGCAACAATCCCTCGGAGAACACAGTTTAGCAACGACATGTCATCCAGCCAATGAACGGGAGGTGATGGTGCTGATACAGGTTTTCCCTTCTGCTCTGTACAACTCTATGAACTATGTACTCTATGATTTCCCTCTTGATGCCTGCTGTTCCATTTCACTTTGTCCCGTTACAAAAATCGTGTAGTCCTCTCTACCTCGGAGGAACGCAAAGCCTTAATGCATTTTATAATCAAACTCAAGGGTAGTAATGTCAGCGTTCAGCCGGACCTCCCACTGGCAAATCGACTAAAGTTAAAGGAAGCCATCAAGAGCCTCAAGAGCAGGCGGGCGGCTGGTGAGCAAGGCCTTCATCTTGTGGGTTTTCAGGTG